TATAGGGGATTAGTTTGATATTTAATTCATTGGATATACCAAGAGTTTATTTTTAACCTAATAGAATTGAGTGGAAGAGAATGTAATAAAAGTGAGACAGCGTTTGAATATTTGAAATCTTTCAGAATATAGTTTTAGTAATTCTGTTAAAAAATATAAGGTAAATACTTATATATTTTTAATTGTTATAAAGTGCTATATAATAATAAAATTTCATATAGAGCGAAAATATGTCAATCTTATCTGAATTAATTTTAAGTGAGTCTTTTTATATGAAAATAGAACATTTTTTAATTGATAATATGATAGAAGATGAAGTATCTCAAAATATGTCTAATAAAAGTGCTCTTGAAGAATATAGAGATATTTCATCAAATAATGTTAATAATAAGTTAGTTAAAATTAAACTTGAAGATTTTGAAGACTAATTAATAGAAATAATTCCAAGAACTTTAGATTTTATGATACAAGTGATAAATAGTAGAGATAATCAGTATTATTCAATTTATCCTAAAAAAAATGCATTTTGGGACATAAGGTATAAGATTTAGTTTATTGTTATCATAGTAATATACTAAAAATATATATTGTTATAAATAATAAACTTTTAGAAACTTTAATATATATGAGGCTATCATACTTAATTAAATATATGCTTTGGATCTTGGTTTCTTTAAATATATGCTAGACTATACTAAAGATCTTTTATATAACCAAAGTAATTTAAATATTTAATTAAACAGTGATTTATATTGATTTCTCAATATAGCAGCCTTAAAATAATAAAGAATATATTAGATATAACTGCAGTACAGCTGATGAACTGTGAAATATAATAAAAATAATAACTTTCAATTTTAACAATCTATATAAGAATTATAGAAAACCAGAAATTAGTAATAAATAGTTATGTCAAGTTTATTACAAATTCTTTAAAATGTATATTATTATTTATAAAGAATTATTTACTAATGTTTCTTGTAACCAGCTTCAGATATAATATAAATAATTGGCTTTTTAAAATATTAGATTGCTAATAATCAATTTTACAGACCTTCATTTTGGATTGGGTTCAAGAATTTGTTGAAATATTTTCAAAATATGTTCAAAATGAACTTTAGTTTTCTAAACTTCATGCTTGGTGCTATTATATAGTACCTGCAATTAAAGAGTATAGATTTATAAATAGTATGACCATGGAGACTTATGAGACTTTTTATAAAGATTATATAAAAATCACTTATTGCATATTTAATAAAAAAAACTATATAAAACAAATAATAAATACTGTAAGTTTTATATATAGTAAACTTTCACTAAACATCACTAATAATTATTATAAATAAGTTAAATGACAGCAACTAACAGAACATAAAGCTTAAAAAAATATCATAAAACAAAAAGATTTGGTAAATTTTTATGATTATTAGGTTTAGATAAGCTAAATGATTTTTTTGAAAATAACAAAAATAATATAGATTTATTACAAGTTAAAGATTTTCAAAATTTACTAACAGGTCTCAATGAATTTTTTAAAAAAGAATCAGTGGTCTTACTTACCAATAATAATTGCATAGAGATATTTTTTTTGGCTTCTTTAGAAAGTACTAATATAATTTAGGCTACATTAAATTTTTATAGAAGTTCAATGTTTTTTTTTTTTTTTTTTTTTGTGTTATAAGCGGCAATCTTGCCTGTCTGTCTTTTATTGAGTAATATCTAGTTATT